GAAGGGGGGATCTCAGCCATTCCCCCAGAAAGCCGGCTACTCGCCCGCGCCACCTAGTGACTGGGAGAGGTATGACTGGGCGCTTTGGGCAGCAGAAAAGATGATATGGGAGCGGGAGCGTTGGCCGTGGGTGGGCCTGGAGGACAGTTCTCCAGCGATGGACACGGCACAGGCCTGTCACCAAGGAGGTGAGGCCTGAGGAAACCTAGGAATTTCCATTACAACTGAGCATTTTACTGAGGAAGAAAGAAGGGACTTAGGGATGGCAGTTCCTCACAATCTTAAGCATAGAGTTACCCTATGACCCAGCAAACCCTTTTCTGGGTAAACACCAAAAAGAATTGAAAGCGGGGAATCGGATACTTGTCCACCCCTATTCATCTAGTCACAGCCGCCAAAAGGTGGGAGCAACCCCGGTGTCCCTGGACGAACGAGTGGGTAAGCAACGTGTGGTCCATCCGACAAACAGTATGATTCAGCCGAAGAAGGGAGGAAGCTGACACAGGCTGCACGGTGGGTGAGCCGGGAGGACATTCAGCTCAGGGAAGTGAGCCAGAGGCGGCGGGGAGGGTCGGGGGGCCCGCCGGCCCGGGCTGCGGTGGGCAGGCTGAAGAAAGCGTGTCTCCAGTAATATTTGTGGAAGTGTTTGGTTTGCTAGGTGTTGAGGAATGAATTGTAACTTTCATTCTCGGTGACCTGTGCTGAGGATTATGGGAATTCGGGGTATGGAAGGGGGTGTGTGGAAGGGACCTTAGGATGCAATGGATGAAGCCGCCCGCGCTGCTCTCATGGCCCGCAGGGCCTGCCCTCCCTGAGCAGATCCAGGCTGTTTGTAGCCGGAACAAAAGTAAATGCCAGGGGCTCTCCGTGATTATATGCGTGAGCCTCAGGGTTGGGGTTCTGGGCATCTATTGTGAATGTCCAGGAGCCGCCTCTGCTATTTCCAGTTCCAGAGAATGTTCCAGATGGGAAGGGAGCTGGTGATGGGCCTCCGAAGGGGCGGGTTCACTGTGGAGTCGGCCTTGGCGGGAGCCTGGGTTTTCTGTTTTAAATTGGGAGGAGCTGTTCTGGAATCCTCATGGGCCCTGGGGTGGGAGAGGGTAGTTGAGTGCTCCTCTCCTCAGCAGGTAGAGTCAGTGTGTGTGTGTGTGGGGG